TCGTCGGTCAAAAACACCTTCACAACCTCCAACCTACCAAACATCCAGCCTAGCCTCCATGGTCTCCTGGCTGCATGGGAGCCACGCTTGCTGTCGCCTCCCAGCGTTATGGGAGAGAATCAGACTGCACATCCCTAGCCCAGCAAAAGATCCAAGTGCAAAATCTGAGGTAAGGTTTCTATTGAACACATGCCACTTTCACGCCATCAAAAAATAAAACAACCCTAAGTCAAAACTTTGTAAGTTGAGAACTGTCTGTGTTATGTATATATATATATATATATATATATTTTTATATAATTATATGCATATATAACATATAATAGAATTGTGTTCTAACACAGCACACGTCCTTAGTGAAATCTGGCCCCTCCAAAGCCCTTCTGCCTTGCAGCATGTGGGAAAGCCAGGGCCGACTTCTACTTCTCATCTCAGGTGTTGCTTTGTCCCTGGTGACTCCTGGGACAGTCGGGGATCAGAGACACAGCCTTCGTAGCAGCTGGGGACATGAGGCCCGGGAGGGGAAGGCTCACGCGCAGCTCAGGGGTGGGAGGCCAGACCCGGAAGTTGGGCGCAGTGACACCCCAAGCCTGTGTGGGAGGAGAAGCTGATCAGGTGAGGCCATGAGGGGAAACTTGAAAGGAAAGGGCTGCTCCTAGCACAGACACGCGAGGCACCCAGGCCAGGGGGCAGGCCGTGTGGAGGACGTGCGGGGCCCTATCCCCTGGCACGTGTCCTAGGGAGGAAAATGGCCTCTGGGAGGGTGCTCGGTACCAGGTCAGAGTGCAGCTTTGAACTTTATTCGGTAGGCAGCAGGAGCCATGGGGGTTTTCAAGTGAGAACATGTTGATAAGTGAGTGCGTCAACCTAGAAGGGTCACCTTTACAAAGCTTACTGTCCCTGTGCTTCCTGGGAGCTCAGCTTCCCTACCAGGAGCCCAGGAGACTGAGGCCAGGTTGGAGATGACAAATACCTGGCCCAGGTGTGGTCACCTCCAAGTCTGCCACCATAACAGGCAGCACTAGGCGATCCTTGCACCTTCTCCTATTCAGTCGGGTTCCAGCTTGGCAGAGCCCCAGCCAAGCTCTGCTAATCACACAGAATCAGCCTGGAGGGTGGTCTCGACCAGGTGAGGACGGCACTGCCAATCGCAGTGGAGCAACAGCACTTTTTCCCTTACAGATGCACTTTCACCTCATCTTGGCCTCTGCTCAACTCACCACTCAAGGCATCCATCGTCAACCGCAATCTTCAAGGAGGGAAACTGAGGCACCGGGCAAGTGAGGGGCTTCCCAAAGGCTTCTCAACTCAGCAAAAGCTGTTTCCAGGGCCGGGGATTTGGCTCAGTGGCATCGCGCCTGCCTTGCAAGTGCGAGGTCCTGAGTTCGATCCCTGGTACCACACACACACACACACACACAGCTGGTCCCAGGCTTACACACCAGCACCAAGGCCTGACTCCACTGCTCTCCTAAGTCCCACATGCCCCAGCCTAGTCCCAGCCCCTCTTTGCCAATGTCCCAGCAGTACTGGGGGCTCTCTCCTGTCCCTGGCCACAGCCCTGGTGGTCTCAAGACACAGCACAAGAAGCTTCTGGAATTACTGGCAAGACAGACGCCTGGTTAGTTAGAAAAACATGTGGCTTACTCTTCCCCCTCCTGTCCCTCCAGCCGCCACCACCTTCTAATTCAATTTCCCTTGAAAAACAATGGTTTCAATGAAGGGGGAAACAAGATTTTCCGAAACTTCGTAAAGTTTTGCAAAATAATTACCCCCCAAACTGGTAGGCTCCCTCCCCCTTCCTCCTCAGACGAACGTCTCTGGGACTTTTTCACAGACAGGCTTTCCACCCAGCTAGACACAGCCCTGTCCCCTGACCCCAGAGCCCCTCCGCACGAGCACCTTCCCTCCTGGTGGTGCCTGCCTGTTCCATGAAGGACTGGCCAGGAGAGGAGGATGAGAGGGTCCGGCTGTCTCCCAGGCCAGGCTGAGATAGTTCAAGCCCTAGTGTGAGTCCCCTGAGCTGGCTCTGAGCTCACCCCCATGGTGAGAGCCACCTCACACAGACGGAGCTGAGAACCCGGGGGCAGGTGGACCCCAGACCCCAGATTTTCCATTCCAGCTGCTCTCCAGGCAGCTCCAGGTTGGAGGCCTCCTGGGAATGTGGCCTCTTGGTTCTTACTGTGCGGTCCACATCCTTCTTACTTCTAGGTTCGCCAGGGGCCCAGGGGCTGTGGTTGGCTCTGCTGGCCCCCGGGGGACTGGCAGAGTCTCCTCCCCTCACTCACATAGGCTGGCAGACAGCGGGCACCGAGTCACCCCCAATGACTGCCTCCACTCCAGGGATGCCCCGCGACTCCCTGGATGTCACCCCTTTAATGCTCCCCCCAAGACCATCCTGCTGCTGCTCCCCAGAGGCTCCTCTAGCTGCTCTCTTCTCAGGTCCCTACCAGGTCCCCCACTTGGCTTTCTTTCCCCATAACCCTGGTCCCCCCACTGTCCACCAGCCCCTGCTCCAAACCCCATTCCTCTTCTGTGGCCAGAAGATGGACTAATTCATACAGAGGTGTGACTGGCTGCCCACCCGGGGTCTCCCAGAGAAGATATGCCGGGTAGTCCCACTCCCACCAGAACCTCGTGCTACCACTGGCCCGGTTGGGTTAAGAAAAGTTGCCCCAAACTTGGACACAGCAGAGAAGACAATAAGCTTTCCCACTATCAAGCTGGAGCCTGGACAGGCCCACTAGTAAGGAGTACTTGCTATGGTTTGAAGATTCATGTCCCCAAAGATAAGTCGAAGTCTGATCACTAATGTGTTGGTATTAGGAAAACAGGCCCCTGGGAGGCGGTTAGGTCATGAGAGTTAGCTCTTGATCCCCTTGAGTGGGATTAGTGCCCTTATAAAAGAGGCCCAGAAGCTAGGCGTGGTGGCACGCACCTGTAGTCCTAGTACTCTAGGAGGCAGAGGCAGGAGGATTGCAAGTTTGAGCCCAGCCTGGGCAGCTTAGAGATTTAGTGAGACCCTGTCTCGAAATACAAAACAAAAAAATGGCACGGGATGAGCTCAGTGTGAAGGCCCTGGGTACAGTCCCTCATCAGGCTCGGAGTCCTCAGACTGCTTGACCTCAGACTCCCAACCCATAAAAATATGAGACATTAATTTTTGCTGTTTCTGAGTTACCCAGTTTGTGGAGTTTCAAAGTAGCCCAGATTGACAATGTTTCACGATTCAGAGGTGTGCACCTTTGACTTAGTACGTGCTATTAATGGGATAAATTTTAGAAGTACAGATGTCCAGTGGAAATTATTGATTTTTGACCTATTAGGATATTACATTAAAAAAGATTTTTTTTTTTGTACCAGGGATTGAACTCTGGACCTTGCTCTTGTAAAGCAGGTGACAGAACCACCGAACTAAATCCCTGGCCCACCTGTTAGGATATTAATCAGTTTGGCATCACACTGAGCCATTTTATTCCAACATTTTTTTCTTTGGACGTCTCTAAGTCTGTTTCTGTAGCTCTTTTGAATCAGCTTTATCATTTTCATGAGCTAAAAAAAATCAAAATTCGACCTGTGTTTAATTTATATTTTGGTGAGAGTTAAGCTTTTACTTGATTTTTTTAAAATTATACTGTGATGGCTTACCTATCTCCAGGAATGGAGGGCTCACTACCTATCAAGGAACTCGGGAATCGTAGGGCAGCTCCCATACAGTTTAGAGGTTCTTTATTCGTATAGCTGTGCCTTTAGCCCTGGTCTGTGCTTAAAGAGAGCACCAGGAAGGGAGCCAGAAAAAGCAGGTATTTAATAATAAAAAGGACCGCCATCTACATTTTACTTTTCCCAGGAAGAATGGGTTCAGAGGGGAGGAACTGTTAACGGACATAGCTCTGAGCCTGTGGCTGTGCAGTTAGATGAGCTCCCACTCTGAGCCCCTACCGAATCCTGTCCTCCACGCTCCGGAGTCACCTCACTGGCCACAGCTCCAGAGCCTGGCCCTGGCTCCCCCGCAGTCCTCCTGGCTTAGCATGGAGGTCAGAGAACGGCCATGACCTGTTTGAGGCCCAGCTCCGGACCCTGCTCATCCTTGGCTTCTCACACTCCAGCAGCGCTCTGGCTCCCTTGGGAGCAGCATAACCCTAGTTCACGGGCCTCTGCTCTGACTGTCGGGACGCTGGACTGCACCTAGCATTTCCTGCAGCACTCCCCCCCGGAGCACTCCCCACTGGAGCACTCCCCGCCAGCACTCCCCGACCCCGCACTCCCCTCCGGAGCACTACCCCCTGGAGCACTCCCCTCCTGACGCAGTCCGCTCTTGAAGTACCCTTCTTCCTGGAGCACTCCCCTCCCATCCTCTCCAGTGTGACCCAACAGGGCTCTCACCCCCTACAATCCTCAGGTGATTGCAGAAGGGTTGATAGCTTTGGCCTCCCCTGTGGGCCACAGGTCAGAGGGCAGAGTCCACTTCTGTCCACCCTGCATCTCGTCTACAGGACTCAGCCCAGCACGGTGAGGCACGAATACCCTGAGCCCGCAGGGCCCACAGCCTGGCCCTGAGGAACACGGGTGGGGTTTTGCTGAGCAGCTGGAGGCCGGTGTGGCGAGTGGAGTGCAAGGCCCACCCGGAGAGACGGGGCCCCAGAAGCCCTCCCCACCCCAGCCTCAGGTCGAGGGCACAGTCTGAGTGACTCTGTTGCCTGAGCTGCCACTCGGGCTGTGTGTGAGGCCATCGAATGCTCGCTGTGCTCTCTGAGTTGGACGTCCTGCTGCAGAAGAGGCCTCTTGACACCCACTCAACCCCTACTCAGTCAGAGGGCTGCCTTGGCTAAAAATCTGCATCCCAGTCGAGGCAGGCAATGGAGCACCCTGCTGAAGTGCAGTAGCCATGAAGCGGATACCCCTGTGCCCACCGATCATCCCGACGTGATTGCGATGGCTGCAGCCAGCAGCGCTCTCGGGGGGCTGACTCGGCCAGGCTGTGCTCCGGCAGCCCCAGGGGGTAGGTACTCAATTTTCATTCCCATTTAATGGCTGAGGAAACTAGAACACAGAGAGGTTGAGTATGTTGCATAAGGTCACACAGCCTGTCTTAGTCACCTTTCCCATCACGGAGACACAATACCGGACACCCACAGCTTAAAAGAGGAGAGGTTTATTTTGGCTCATGTTTTAGTCCGCTGTGGGCCGGCTCCAAGTCAGGACAGCATGGCAGAGGGGAGCGACTCATGGCATGGCTGCAGGGAAGCAGAGAGAGAGGAGGGAGGAGCAGGGGAGGCAGGTGCACCAGTCCAGGTCACATACCCTGGCCCTCCTTGACAGACAGGGCCCAGCTCTAGCAGGGAGCCAGCTGTGGGCCCAGCCCAGTCACCACCAGTCTGCCCCTGCCGTGCGAGGTTTCAGGGGAAAATCACACCCCAGCAAGTGGCAGGGCTGGGACTTGAACCCAGATGGGATCCTCCGCAGGCTCTCGGTGTCACCCCCAGTGCCACGGCCATCTGTGGTCCACGGGACGCAGCAGGCAGTGGGGAGGGCAGGGGAGCCCTAGGGCCGAGGACCTCCTCCCAGTGTGGAATTGCAGCATGGACGGCCGTGGGGCTCGCAGGCGTGGCTGGGCAGCCGCTCCTCTCTCCACACAGCCCCTACCGCGTGGGGAGCTGGCTGCCTGCGGCCCCCACCACACTGGCTCGTGGGACCCCAGGAGGACACAGCAGCGGGGGCCGGGCAGGTGGGGAAGCTTCTGTGCCAGGAGAGCCCGGTCAAGCTCACCACAGCCCCTCTGAGCCCGGGGACATGGTCAGCAGGGGCCACTGTCTGAAGCTGCCGCCCCTGCTTCCACAGCTGCGTGCCTCGTCCCTCCTCTGCAGGTGGGGCAACTTTACACACCAGGTCATTCAGTCCTTGCAGGGAAGGCGCGGCTGGAGACACTGAGGCACAGAGCAGCAAAGTGATGTGTCCAGGCATACACTGCAGGGACCTAACTAAGGGCACGTTTTGAAAGATCCCCAGTGCACCTAAAGTTGAGAATTATTGAAGGAGCCAAGTCTCGTAGGTCATTGATGACAGCTCACAGATGGCAAGCAACAGGTTCAAGGTCACACAGCAAGCCAGCAGCACTAGACCAGGATCTCTCTACCCCTCTGACACTTTTCAAGGTTGATGGTGAATGAATTAATGGCACTGAGTTCAGCAATATACTGCCCACCGGTACCCCTGGGCCCCAGTCACCCCAAGCCACACTGCCCCGTCCCCAGATTGATTTCCTTGCCAGACTGGCTCTGCATTCCATGGCAGAGGGAAACTCCACCAGGGGAAACAGTGGCAGGTGTGCGGTTGCTTTGCTGGTGTCTGCGGTTTTTCTTCCTCTTCCTCTCGTGAGCTGGCCTGCAGGGTGGAGAGCAGTGCTCCTTGTGGACCAAGGAGGGGCTGAACTTGTGCAAAGATGCAGGGGTGAGGAGGAGCGGGCAGAGGCTGTCACGTCCTGGAACCCAGCCTGGGCCAGGTGGGTGACGGCCCAGAAAGAGTACAGGCAGCAGAGGAGAGGAGAGGCATGAGGGATGCTCCCTCCCGTCTGGGTGAGCGTGTGCCTCTGCAGCAGCGTAGGGACTGCTGTTCTTGAATGTTCCTGCCAAGCCCCCAGCCTGTCTTTTCCTCTGTACAGCAGAAAAGCATGACTTTTTTGATGCCCGGTACCAAAGAAACAAAAAACATAAAACAAACAAACAAGAACAAGAGTATGACTTCTGGGGTCCTTGTGGCCAGTTCTTTGTGGTTGTTTTTCCTCTGTCCTGTGCTGCCGGCTCTGCTGAAATGAGGCCTGCGATGCTCCCCGGAGTTGGTGATGAGGGGCTGATCCTAAGCCCTCTTTCCCCCTGCAAAGCCGCTCCTCTTGCCCTCCAGATGATTCCTCTTCCTCTGCTTGGGGAGACCGAGCCCAGGGCACAGGTGGAGCCCCCTTGGGGACAGACACCTGCTCTGGGCTCTGAGGAGGTGTCAGGAGAGGGCAGGCCTGACACCCAGGCCTTCTCCCCAGCGGCGGTGGGGTTGTCCCGGGGAGTGAGGGGGGGGCGGTACCATGCAGACATGGGGAGCAGTGGTGGGTGTAAAGGGAGACGCCTAGGGCTGAGAAGCCCTGGGGGGGTTGTCCCGGGGAGTGAGGGGGGGCGGTACCATGCAGACATGGGGAGCAGTGGTGGGTGTAAAGGGAGACGCCTAGGGCTGAGAAGCCCCCTCTGCCTGCACAGGCCCTGGAGCCCAGCACCCACCTGTGTCGCCGAGTGTCAGGTTAACAGCACTGGGCCGTGTACGGTCATTCACAGTCGAGGCGCTGCCCTTCCTCTCCTCAGTGTCAGTCCTGGCCCCAGAGCAAGGCCTGGTTCCCAACACACAGTGCCAGCCGCACCCTGGGGCCCTGACCTTGATCTCGGACAGACCCACAACCACAGCCAGAGCCGTAACCCAAGCAGCCATGTCAGAGAGGACGAGTGGCCAGCTGGACCGGGCAGGGGGCGCCCCTGCGGGCAAAGGTCACCCACATGCCAAGAGCACAACGACACAAAGCCCTTGCTGGCCCTCAAGGGACGTGGCTGTAGCCTTGGGGGACTGGGACACACCCCACCCTTGGCCTGAAGTCCCTCTGCTACCTTCCTAGCTGGGGGCGGTTTCCAGATTGTTCCAGTTCTTGCTGCTCAGGTCTCATTATCCCCTTGGAGGCTCTCCTGGCCTGAGCCTCTCAGCACAGGGGTTGGGCCCAGCCCAGGGGCGGGGTGTATGTAGGGGACAGGAACCTGGTGTTGAGGCACAACTGCCACATCCTAGCCTGGGACTCTGGCGAATCCCAGCCTCTCAGAGCCTCTGTCAGCTTTTCTGTGAGATGGGACTGTTGCGTGGTGTGTGAGATGTTCTGGGCAAGGAGCCCAGTGTGAGTCCAGGTCAGGAAGTCAGGGCTGAGCACGCTGGTCTTCACCGAGCTTCCTGATCCGGGGATGATTTCACCATTCTTCTCTTTCTCGGTGGGGAGACTGAGGCCGAGGTCCTGGCCAACAGACAGGAAACAGCAGAGCTTCACGCCCTTCTCCTCAATCCCTTCTGGGCTCCTTAGATGCCAGCAAGGTGCTCCAGGCCTCAGTTTCCCCACTTGTAAGAGGAGGGAGCGGTACCAGTGGGCTATCCACACGGCCCCCACAAGAAGCCTCCTGCCACCAGAGAGGCTAGGAGCTGCTGGCTAGGAAGTCACAGCAGGATGCAGGCCCAGAGAGGCCTCGGGAATGTGGTTTTGGAAGTTTGGGGCTGCTTTTGCGACAGGGCCCCTTCTCCGTCCTTTTATTTTCATGACACTTCAACAACTGTTTCTTCCCTTAATCCAAACCATTGTTTTTCCAGGATGAAATTTAAATCAAAGCCACATGGTCTCCCAAACAGAGGCCCTCACCAAGTGGGAGCACGACCCGGGGAAGAGTTGCCGGCTGTGGATGGGTGCTGATCCCCTCCGTGGGGCCGTGGCCAGGCTGCCTGACAGCAGGCTGGAGGGGCTTCCCAGACCCTCCAGGATAGGCATGGAGGTTTCGCAGCCTAACTGTGGCTCTGGCTGGAGCAGGGCTGAGCTGATGGTCCATATCAGGTGGGCAGGAGACTCTTTCCTGAGCCCTGGGTCTCCTCCTGTAAGCCATGGGGAGATGGGAGGTGCCCAGACCCAGAGGCCCCTCTGTGATGGGTACAAGGTCAGCACAGCAAAGCATAGCTGCTTAGGTGGCTTGAAATATGAAGCAGTGTGGCTGGTGGAAAAGGACCTGGCTTTGGAGTTGCTTGTGTCTGATCCTTACTTATTTGCTGTTAACCTCAAGGGAGTCCTCAACTTTTCTGAGCTTCAGTTTCCTCGTTGGTAGAATGGGGCTCTTTCCAGAACCCCTGTCTTGGGGCTTGGAGAGAATAATGCGCACAGCCAGTGCGAGGCAGGTGGGGTGTGCACAAAAGCTGCTTGCGGTGCCTGTGCAGGTGCAAGGAGGCTGCTGCACCTTGGAAGGGGGTGGTGGAGCACAGTGGGGGAAGGAAGGGCCAGCTGGGCCCAGCACATGGCTGGGAAGAGCAGGCTGCTTGCTTTAGGAGGCGACAGCAGAGGAGGGCCTGGATGTAACCAGAGGCTATGTCCAGGGCCCTCTCCAGGCCTGGCCTCTGTTTTTGTAATCTACCTCTTCAGCGATCAGGTGGTGCCCTAACTTGGAGAGCCAGGGGTCAGCTCCCATGGCCTCCAGACACAAGGTAAGTGCCCAGGGCTCCAGGCTCTTGTCCACTAAGGCCAGGCCGCTGTGGGTATGCACAATCACGCCCACAGGTGCACAAGTACAAGCACACAGAGACATCATGCAAATACACAGATGTCAGACGTGTGCACAAGCACAGGTCCACCCGCCCTGCATGGGGACGCGTTTCCACAACAGGCCAGACCCAGATGCTGGATATGCAGGTGCACACACACACGCACTCACACTCACACACGCACACGCATGCGTGTGGATGCCCACTGAGCGAGGGCTGCAAAAGCCTCTACTGCACATGTAGTCGGAGCTCCCCAGAGCAACAGTCCAGTCCCCACCCCAGCTCACAGTCTGGCAGGGACAGCAGGATCCTGGCTGAAATCCTGATGACTCCTCACACACTCGCAGAGAAGCCCTACACTCACCCCCTGGAGTCGGGGCGTCTCTATACAGATGGAGGAATGAGTTCAGAGGGGTGGCACCCCCTGCCTGAAATCCCAGAGCCAAGAGCCAAGGCACCTTCAGTGCCAGCTGTCTTCCCAGCTGGCAGGACTGGAGGGGCGGCTGTGGTGTGGAGACCACTGGCGGCCCTCACTCGTGCAATCTGCTCCTGGCTTCTCTGTCCACCAGATCCACAGGAGAGCCTCATATGATGCCCCTTTCCAGACGGCAGTCATCACCTGAAGCCCTAGACTGTACTTTTTCACATTCTGGAGGCGTGGACGAGACAGCACACAGACAACCCCAGGCTTTGTGCCCTAGGCCCACAGAGAGTCTCAGCTGGACCCCCATTGGCTTGCTGTGTAACACTAGGCAAGTCCCTGCCCTCTCTGGGCCTTGGCTTGGATGTTCTCTAAGGGCTGACACTTGGTGAGCCACAGATGGTCCCCAAGAGCTGACCTAGGCCCGGGAGGTGACCTGACTCCCAGATTGTGGTGTCTCTGGAACTCCCTCTGTTTGCGCTCTGAACCCTGCACCCAGGCCCCACGGCTGAGCTGAGCTGCCTGGACATGGAGGGCATTTGCCCACACCCACGGGAAGGACTTCCCAGCCTGTGGGCGTGCAGCAGGTGCGCAGCTTCCATTTCTTAGAATCCCTCCAAGGCCGGGGCTGAGATCATTTACGGGAAAGGGAGACGGGGGGCTCTCTTCACACCCAGCTCTGCTGGGGGGGCAGCAAGTGCGTCAGCAGCCCCAGCACCCAGCCTGCCTCCGGAAACATCGCCCAGCATGCAGTCACGAACCCAGCAGAGCAGGGGGGCAGCCGGAGTGCTGAGGGAGGTCAGGTGACCCTCGAGGAAGCTGGGCTGAGGCCCGAGGCTGCACTAGGGTGCACAATGAGGTCAACTTCCCCCTTCCCGGGCCTGCACCCCCACTCCCAGCTGCCCGGCTGGTTGTCTCTCCAGCTGACTATCAGCCATCTGCTGTCCCTAGGCCCACCCGGGACTCTGGGTCTCTGAAGGCTCCCCTGAGACTGAGTTCCATCAATACCAGCTTCAAAGGGGCTCCTGTGCAAGGGTCCTGGGGCAGATGGAGACCCCTGCGGGCTAGTGAGGACAGCCTGAGCCCTGCCCCTTTCTCCCTCACCTCCCTCCTCCACTTTTGCTGCAGCTATTTAAAGCCCGTGGTGGCCGTGGGAAACTTCTTCAGATGTGTGGTTTCGGCTCCTCCAGCAGGGACCCTGTCTGCCTGTTCTCGAGTCTGGTGACTCATTCAGAGTGAGAAAAGCCTTTTTGTTGTTTGATGCTCGCTCGAGGCTCTGTGGCCTGAGAATGCAGCCTGGCGGGGCCCTCCTGGAAAGACTCAGGAGTGCCCGGAGCCACCATCTGACCCAGGAAGCTCAGGATCCACAGTGTCCCAGGGGCTTAAATGTTCTGCCCTGGCTAGGGTCACCTGCCCAGAGGGTGCCCATCCTCAAAGTTCTCAGCCCCTGCTCCCCCAAGGGACCTGAGTCAACCTCCACCGGGGACTCAGCGCTCTGACCCTCCGTCTTCTCAGCGAGAAACAGGCATTGGGTCTACACTTTCAGACCCAGAATGTGTCCCAGGCTCTGGTGCTCACCAGATCCCCTCACAGAGTGCCTGTTTCACACCACGCACTTCACGTGATGGTCCCCTTTTATCCTCCCAACAGCACCGTGAAGCAGCCACTAGGAATTTTCCGTTCACAGTTGACGAAACTGATGCCTGAGTGGGGAGGCGAGGAGCTTATATATTATCTCACAGGGAGAGACTGGAGGAGCAAACTCGAACCCAGGCCGTGTGGTACCAGTGCCATTCTGTTCCCAGCCTGGGCAACAGCAGACCACCATGGTCTAGGCTCCGAGGTAGGAAGCTCTGCCACTCTGCCCCCTGGCCTGGGCCTCCTCGGGGCTGTTCCTGCTGTTGAAGCCCTGCCCCCGCCCCCGACTGTGTCCTTCCCAGGCCTCAGACCTCCACTTGCTCGCTTCCTCCTGACACCTTCCAGGATGGGCCCCGGGAGGTGTCCTGGTGGCACACAGTACCTCTGTGTACTTATCACAAGTCACACTTTTCTACCTGTGTCCCCACCCAGGCCTCTCTGGTCCTCCTCACAGCCTCTTCCTCCTCAACCCTCACCCTAACCCAGACAGCAGGGGCCCTGGGTGGGACCTGGCCTGAGGAAGTGGGGCTGGTGGCTGTTCCAGCAAAGGGGCCACCCTTTCTGCCCACGCAAGGGGCCACAGCAGCAGCTGCCATACCGTGGCCAATGCCGTGGCCAGGGCCTGCAGCCATGTTGGCATGGGGTGGAAGAGGGAGGACAAATGGCCACGGAAGAGGCCACACCAGGTAGGAATCAGGCAGAGGACAATGCTACGCCAGCCGGAGGATCGCAGCTGGCTTGGCAGGCCGGTGTCCCCTTTTGACGGCAACTGCTTTACGCCTCGTGAGGCTGTCACCCGCCACCATTCCCCCTTTTGCGAGGCTGTCCTGGCTGCCCCAGAGACCAAGTGAGGGGCCGTGTAGGCCAGAAGAGGAGCCAGATCCTCAATCCCAGGGAAGCCATGGGCAGAAAGCCAGAGGATGGTAGGAAAGAGGCCTGGGCCACTGAATGGGTCCCGGATGAGTGCACACTGTAGGACCCCGGAGCTGTCTCTCGGACCCTTAGTCCCTCTCACGGTTTCTTCCCCAGGCCTCTGCCCCCCACAGCGAGCAGGCTCTGTGCTATCCCAGGTCCACACACAGGACACTGGCCCTGAAAGAAGGCTGACGACTGGAAGTCAGAAGATCTGGATGTCGGCTGACGCTTTGGCTGTGGCCTGTCACAGAGGGAGCCTTCCTGTCACTTCCTGCACAGAGAAGTGGGGACTGCAGCCCAGGAAGCCCTCTCCCTCTTGGCCCTCAGTTTCCTTATCTGTGAAGCCTGACACTTGGCTTCCACCACCCCCAGGGCCCTGCCACTTCGGTGGTTCTGCAGGACAGGGACAACAGGGAGGCTGCTCCTCCTGAAGCCTTTGCAAGCCCGTCAGTCCCACGGAGGCCAGAGAAGGAGAGTGACCTGCCAAGGAAGGTGAGGAGGGGAGCTTCACCTGAGGGGGCTGGGGCCTGGGGGCTCAGGCTGGGTGGGGACAGACGGAAGACCCGCAGCTGAGTCCCCCACTCCTAGCCCATCTTCTCCCCGAAATGCTCAGACACAGGAAGAGTCGTCTCTACCAAGCCACAGCTGCAGGCCTCAAATCACAAAGCCACAAATTCTCAGAGCTCTTCGGGGGCTGGCTGGGCCCAGAGCCTGAGTGTCTCCCACTGTACAGAGGGGAAGGCTGAGCCCCAGCAAGCCTGGGCCTGGGCCAGGGCCCTCAAGGGAGGCCACACCAGGGCAGGGGACAGAACCCAGGCACCCTGCCTCAGGAGTCAGCACCACACACACAGACATGGCCAGGCCCGGGTCCAGCTCCGCTCCATCCACGACAACACGTGCCTGCCAGCCACATCTTCCTGCTGCATCCCACCTGTGCCTTCAGGTTCAGCTTTGGCAGCCAGGGGACCAAGCACACGGCCCATTCCCACCCGGGAAAGTCTCGAGAGGCCTGGAGGAGGAGGCCTGGCCAGGCCTGAGCCGAGCGCCGTGTACTGTGAGACCACAGCAGGGCCCGCAGCTGCTTCCAGAAGCTCCGGGCCTGAGGAGGGGCTGGTGCAGCTCACCCTCAGTGCTTTGCAGCTGATAGAACAAAGGTTTCTCCTCGGAGACCTCACCACAACCTCCCACCACGCCGGAGGGTGGACAAGCGAGAAGCCAGAGGCCCCTGTGCAGCTAAAAAAAGACAATAAAAGCAAAATAGGCATCTGCCCTATTTATTTATGTTTGTATGTATGTATGTTTTCTTTTTGGTGCTGGGGTCAGGAGGCTGAGTCCTGCAGGGGCAGAAACCAGGGGAAGATGCTGAGACCAAGGGGAGCATAGACCAGAGAGGGGAAGGCACCTGTCCAGGGTCACACAACGAGTTAGAATTTGGGCCATGCCAGCCAGCATTTAGCGCTCATTGGGCCTGGCTTGCCTGTGGCCCCAGGGCTGTCTGTGCAGGCAAGTCAGGGAGCCTGTCCCCGTGGCGGAAGCTCCGAGCCGGCAAGGGGAATCCCAAGGTCAACAGCACGGGAACCGCATGCCCCCTCCCCACCGGCTTCCCACCCTGCCTTCGCAAATGATAGGACGCCTGCCCAGGGCCTGGCCGGACTCTAGACCAGCCCAGACAAAAAGTTTCCCCTGTGGTTTGGAATGGAGCTTGGCCATCATTTCCTGCACTCTATGAGGGGTGTGGGGCTGGGAAGGGGCTGCACCTGCTGCAGGTGGGGGGGCTGGCATGAGAGGCTGCTTGCTGAGGGCCCCTCCCAGCCAGGACACTGCTGGGCTGTGTGACTTCCGGCCAGTTCCTCTCCTCCCCCAGCCTCTGAGTTGTGTGTTACCGGAGGGCCCAGCCCGTCCAGGCTTCTCCCGTTATAAATAATTTGCCCTCCTGAAGGGCCAGCGGGACACCCTCGAGGTTGGAACAGGCCTGTTAGGGGAGGGGTGGGACTTTAACTCACACAGAACTAAGGTTAAATTCTAGCTCCCTCACTTACTTGCTGTGCGCCCTTGGCCAAGTGACTTCCCCTCTCTGAGCCTCTAGGTCTGCATTGGTGTAATCGCCGCTTTGAGCCCTTCCTTTCTGCCAGACATGGTTCCCAATGATCCTGCCCATCGCCCCTCTGGGGTGGGGGCTCTTGTGATGATGCCTCATGTATGTGTGTTTGGGGGAGAGGCCCAGAGTGAACCCTGGCCACTGATCTCCAGGTGGTCTTCAGTGGTTGGCTACAAAAGCGCCCCCTGGGAGATGAAGTGAGATAATTTGAGAAAAGCTCATATGGGTGTAAGGTTTTGTTATTGTTGCTGCGACTGTCTTCCACGTTCCCGCATCCCAGTGGCGCCCCTCTGCCCAGCCGCTATCCTCCAGCCCCCAAGGCTGCACCCTCGCTGCAAAGTGGGCGGAGGCCACCTCCCGGGCCCCACGGTGCACAGGGCCCCAGCCATCCTCTAGCTCCTCTCCCTGGGCCAGCGGGAAGCTGAGCACTGCGGCCTGGGGGAAGGGATCCCCTCGGTGGGCTGTCTTCGGGGGGAGTCTTGGGTCACTGCCCAAACAACCTCTGCGGTGCCCTCCCTCTGTGCCAGGCAGCACGCAGGGAGCCTCGCAGATCAGCCTTACCCCAAGGAGACCTGGAAGCTCCCAGAAAGGAGCAATGGCGATGCCCAGGGGAAAGGTGGCTCCCCTCAGGGAACCAAGTGGCAGAGCCCAGGGCAGGGCAGCAGGGGGTGGCAGGGGCAGGTGACCACCGGCAAGGTGGGTTTGGCTCTCACCTCGTTGGGGTTTAAAAGGTGGGCAGAGAAATGAAAGGACCACTTCACTTCACCTTGCCTGTGCCTGCCCCTCAGCTGGCTGGCCGGCCCTAGGCATCTGCTCATGCATCAGGCATTTACAAGGCACCTGCCAGAGGCCAGGGGTGCCAGGCTCCTGCAAACACCTGCCTCAAGAGCCTTCCAAATGCTGGCACACCACCGCCTGAGCCCACCCCATCTCTGACCTCTGCTTAGGGCTCTCTGTCCCTGACTCCCCTCACCTGCCCTCGCCTCCAGGGGTGGATGGAGCCAGGCTGGTGGTCCTCTGCTGTGAAGCCGATTTGGGTTCTTTGGGTGAGAATCACACCCACATCAGCCACCCGCAGGAAGGAAGAGTCGGTGTCTGCGTCTTCTGGTAGGTGTTCCAGGCCCCGACCTCCCGCTGCCAGGTGTGATTTGAAACACGGGCTCTCATTAGGTGTCTCCCATGACCTGGGCCCCCTCAGCTCCTGAGAGCTACAGGAAGAGTGGCCTCAGCACAAGGCCCTGAGACTCAACATGCACTGAGCACAGACTGCCGGGCTCCATGTGGTCACCCCTTTGATTCTCAAGCCCCCTTCTGTGCTGGGTGCTAGGGCTCCTAAGGCAAAACTCAGATGTCAAGTGGTGCCCCTGTGGCCACACAGGCATGAGCCCGGATCGGCAAACCCCTAGCCCAAAGCTCAGTCCTGACCCTCTAGGCCACTCAGCCTGGCTCCCA